GCCCCGCCCCCCCGCCGCTCTCCACACCCCCCCAGCACCAAGTCATCCCGCCTGGGGTGACCCCCATGATCGATGACCACAGGGCACATATTGTGCCTTGTTCTAGAACAAACTCTCCTCCAGCCTCAGTGCCCTAGAGGCTGCCACGGCTCCCGGCGACTTGCTGTCGCGGAACCTGACAGACAGGACACACGACAGGGCAGGTGTCCACGCCAGTCACTGGCTTGGAATCCCCTCCCCAAGGCAGAACCGCGATGCCTCTTTCCTGGGGCGTCGGTCATGGGGACGCTTGTTCCCCCCCCCACCCCTCCAGCTGGATATACACTGCAGCCGGCGCCAGTGGCTCACACCTGGCAGCCTAGCTACTCTGGAGACTGAGCTCTGAGGATCGCGGTTCGAAGCCAGCCCTGGCAGGAAAGTCCATGAGACTCTTTATCTCCAATGAGACACCAGAAAACAGGAAGTGGCCCTGTGACTCAAAGTGTAGAGGGCTAACCTTGGGCAAGAAGAGCTCAGGGACAGCGGCCAGGCCCTGAGTTCAAGCCCACGACATAAAACCCGCCTCACTGTGAAGGGTCCTGACTCGAACGCGGGGTGTGGGGGGGGAGATGGGGAAGAATGCACAAAAAGACCCAAAAGAATCTGAACCGACAGGCCCTGCTGGTCCCCGTTCCCCCTGTCTAGGAGGAACTGGTTCGATGCAGTGCATACTTGATCCCCAAAGGAGGTCTGGGGCTCTGACTCAAGGGCTGAGTGTGTGCTGAGCATGCCCAACTCTCGTGGGCTGGCTTCCAACCAGGATCCTCAGATCTCAGCCTCCTGAGATTACAGGTGTGACAACCCATGCCCAGCCTGCTCCTTCCTATTGCTTCCCTTTCCTGCTTTCTGAAGCTGGGTTCTGCCACTCCTCAGTGGACACTGTACTTTGTTTTTGTTGGGCAGAGGCTGCCCTGTTCCCCAGGCCTGGGTAAGGTGAAGTCAGTCTACAAATCTGTTGTAAACCTGGGTGCCAATGGCTCACGCCTGTAGTCATAGCTACTCAGGAGGCTGAAATCTGATGATTGTGGTTGGAAGCCAGCCCAGGCAGTGAGACTTTTATCTCCAGTACATCACATAAAAAGACAAAAGTGAGGGGCTAGGAATGTGGCTTACTGGTAGAGTGTTTGCCTTGCATGCACGAAGCCCTGGGTTCAATTCCTCAGTACCACATAAATGGAAAAAAGCCAGAAGTGCTATTGTGGTTCAAGTGGCAGAATGATAGCCTTGAGCAAAAGAAGCTCAGAGATAGTGCTCAGGCTCTGGCCCTAAGTTCAAGTCCCAGGACTGGCCAGAAAAGAAAAGAAAAAAAAAAGCCAGAAGCGGTGCTATGGCTCAAAGTGGTAGAGTGCTAGCCTTGAGCAAAAGGAGCTCAGGGACAGCACTTAGGCCCAGTGTTCAAGCCCCAGGACTGCCCCCCCCAAAAAATGTGTTGTAGCTTTGTCTTTTGGCATTGCACTGTATAACACATTCACAGACTCAGAAGCACAAGCTAAAGTGAGCAATGTCATCTTGGAATATAGGGGTGATATGACTCTTCTCATTCCATTTGCCCAGGTTGCTGGAGGAAGCTGCCGCCCTGGGTATGCTTAGAAAATAATATTGGGGGGGGGGCTGGGAAGGTGGCT